TGAAAAGTTGAAAGCTGAGTAAATTCTACTGTTGTTCTATTATTTGTACATTATTTATCAAAGAAATTTACATATTATTATTTATAAGGGTAGAGACTTGTTCTGTGTTTACAATGTTCGGTTTAGTCATTGCACAAATCTTTGTTTATAATAATGGTGCTGGTATGTATGTATTAACCTTTTTAAGCATCTATTATTTCAAGAAGTCAAATTAATCGCACTGATAAATTCTGAATTCTTGTTCATTCAGTTCGGGGTGGGATGGGGTGGGGTGGCACCTCAAAGCATTTGTGCCCGATGAAGTTCATTTGATCTTCCGATAATTTATGTTATTAGGTTCTTTTCTCAGACCACAACAGGTTAGAGAGAAAGAGAAACAGAACCAGAAAAAACAAAAATAAAACGGAAAAAAAGAGCACAGGCATAGTAACTTTACCGTACATCAGGGGCATAACAGAAAAAGTGCAGAGAGCAATGAGAAAACACAATATCAACACACCAGTGAAACCGTACTCAAAACTCAGGCAATTACTCGTCCACCCAAAAGATAAAATAGAACCGGAGCATAAATGTAATGTCATATACGAAATACCCTGCATGTCCTGCAATAAAACACACATCGGGGAAACAAGGAAGGCGTTCAATACACAAAAAAAGGAACATAGAACAGAATGCGAGAAGGAAACAGCGAAGGCAAAACATGAGCAACAAAACACAAAGCAGAACAGGAACAACTCAAATCAGCCATTTCTGACCATTGTAAAAGAGAAAACCACATTATGGATTGGGATGGAGCAAACATCATTGGGACAGAGGAAAACAAACATCGTCGCTGGATTAAAGAGGCAATCGAAATACGGAAACGTGCCCACGGGACTGTAAACCGGGACGAGGGGGCTTTTTTTACTCTCACACACCTGGGATACTGTCCTGAGGAAGTCGGACTGCAGGTGGCGCTGTCGTCCTGCCTCCACCGGTAGGAAGACAGCATCAAAACCTGTTTAAATCAGCTGACCGGACACGTCACAGCAACATCACGTGACTCTGAGGAAGACACTAGTGAGCAGTCCAAACTGTCAGGTATGAAAACAAACTCTTGGTCTGAGAAAAGAACCTAATAACTAGGGGTGTGCAAAAATATCAGAATATCGATATATCGTATCGTTTAATGTGATGATACAGTATTGATATTGTGGGCTACTGTATCGATATATCACCAAGAGTATTTTTACGTGTGTTTTACTAAATTATTTTGTTACATTGCTACAGTTTTGTTGCTTGTGGAGTGAAAGGAAACTCATTTATGCAACACATTTGACATTTTAACTGTTTTGATGATTAAAATGTTTATGTTTCATTTGAACTTTGCACAAAAAGTGGTTTAACATAGACTTTAGTATCACAGTCACGATTTAGACTTTATTTTTTATTGAACTGTATCGAATCGATTTGAAATATATCATATCGAATCGAAAGTGCACTGTATCGAGATATGTATCGTATTGTGGCCTGTGAATCGAGGTATGTATCGTATCGGCAACTTCTTAATGATACCCAGCCCTACTAATAACAGAGCATTTGTGCTTCCCAAATGGCCCTGTGTCCCTCCACCACAGAAGTTGGTCAGAGTGTCAGAAGAAGATATAAGGCAGACTAAAGGTAAGGTGTTGTATGATAAAGTTTTGACAGGACTAAAAAAATTAAACTGTGACTGTTCTGGGTAAATAGGGACGCCTGGTCACCCGTGTCTACACCAGCTCCACCAGCAGTGTTGTGGAGTAACAGATTACATGTACCGGAGTTATGTAATCAGAGTACAAATTATGAGTAACTGTATTCAGTTACAGTTACTGTTTCAGTGAGTGGTAATTGGATTACAGTTACTTTGTTGAAATAAATGGATTACACAGAGGGATTTTCCCATTTGGGCTATATCCCTTTTTTTTTTTTTTTTTTTTTTTCGGTAATTCCACTCATTGTCGGACACTAAACCAGGTCTAAACCAGGACTAAACTAGGACTAAACCAGGACTAAAACCACATCTAAACCAGGTCTAAACTAGGTCTAAAACCACGTCTAAACCAGGTCTAAACTACCAGGTCTAAACTAGGTCTAAAACCACGTCTAAACCAGGTCTAAACTAGGATTAAACCAGGACTAAAGCAGGACTAAAACCAGGTCCAAACCAGGTCTAAACCAGGACTAAAACAGGTCTAAACTAGGATTAAACCTGGACTAAAGCAGGACTAAAACCAGGTCTAAATCCAGGACTAAAAGCAGGACTAAATCATGCTGCGTGGACCGTGTCTCCTCCTTTTCTATCAATAATATTTTTAATTTGGTTCAGTAAAGTCTGGGCTTTTTATTTTCTTTTAGCAGACAACACATCTTATGTTACGATATCCTCGTCTTTGCTTCTGTACAGCAAACCAAGTAATCCAAAGTATTCAGATTACATTACTCACTTTAAGTAACTTAATGGATTCCGTTACAAACTACATTTTGGGGTATGTAATCTGTAATCTGTAGGGGAATACATTTTAAAAGTCACCTTCCCAACACTGTCCACCAGCACCAACAGCCGTGTACGAGCCACAGCAGCAGCAGCAGCAGCAGCCTCCACGCACAGTCTTCCCTCCTCCTCCTCCTCCTCCTCCTCCCTCTCTCTCTCTTTTCCCTCTCTCCGTGTCCGTGCGCCTCTCCTCTCCTCCTCTCTCTCCTCTCTCTCCTCTCCCGGCCGGTCCCCAGTCTCCCCGCCCCTGAGTCGGGTGTAAGACCTCGGCGGTATGTTCGGAGCCGGGGCCAGTGCATCGGGGAAACACTACGGCGGCATCGGTGGAAACAGTGCGGCGCGCGCGGAGCCAGCGGGACATCAAAGCGCACATCAGAGGAGCCGCCACCGCGTAACGAGCGCGAGGACACGGCGCGGGACGGGGCCTCGAGCGCCAGGTGCGAGCGCGGGAACATGCGAGCGGCGGACGCGGGATTATTTCACGCAAACGCAGCCACGCACGCACGTACAGCCGCGGTGAAGAGGGGGGGTCCGCGACAGGTACGGCACCGGCACCCCGGCTCCGACACGACCAACTCTGGAACACTTTTTTTTTTTATTAGCATAGAGCGAAAAACGCAGGTGTCATGAAGGTTTAACGTGCTAAAAGTGTTAAAATTTATCGAAAGGTGAACAAATATGATAGCGTAGATATCAAAATCAAAAACTGGGACATCCTCGTTTCTTTCTTTCTTTCTTTTTTTTTTTTTTTTTTTTTTTTTTTTTTTTTTTGGCGGTTGGTAATAATAATTAAGGAAAATTGTTATGCACTCGGCCCATTCATGACTTACAGTACACTATAGTCACATTTTCTTCGTGTTTTGGTCGTTTTTAAGCAGCTTTTTTTGTATTTTACCGAAACAAATTACAATTTTTGCCTCTCTTTACTGTTGGCAGGAATCAAATTGGTCCAAAATAGGGACACCTGGGACATTTCTTGTGTAAAACTGGAACAAATCTGTGGTTTTGGATAAATCTGCTGGGACAGGGGACACAGGGATCAAAAGTGGGACTGTCCCGGGTGGATAGGGACGTCCGGTCACCTTAAAAGTAGGTTTAAATGTGTTAAAAGCTGTTGAAAGTTGAACAAATATGATAGCGTAGATTATTTTTTTGCTTTTAAACTTGGCAAACTTGGCTATGGATTTCAGTTTCATGTTATAGGAAACATTTTGAGTGCTTTTCACCATTCAAATTATACGATATTTAGCTTTAAATTGTTAATCACCATAGCAACACTCCATGAATTGGCACCCTACTATTTCTTTTGTTCAAACGTCAATTTAGAAACCCTGCAGAGTGTCAAGTTACCAACTGAACACTTAAAAATTACACTTTTACACTTAAGAAATACGGAATCAGTCGCTTTTTTTATGCAACTTGAGTAACAAAAGTCTGGATAAATTAAATACAGCCTATATTTTTTTCTCTTTTCATCTCATATGTTTGGACAAGAGGACTCGGTGCTGGTGATTGATGACTTTTATTGTGTTTTAAGATAAACTACTGTTGGATTAAGGTTAGGGTTATTGGCTTTGGGACAATACAGAACCTATCACTCAGTATTAATTGTAGAAAGGGCCTAAAAGTGTTGAGGCCACTAAATTGTAGTATTCAGTGCAGCTTGATAAAGTTGTTGCTTTGCGTGCTTGGAATAATGCGTTTGTTTTTGACAGTAGCCTAAGCAATGTCTTGTAATTGCAGGGTGTTTAATTGAAGTAAGCTAGTGAAAAGTTTAAATGTCGCACACATGTGGAAGCAGCCGGCGTGTACGGTTTGTTTTCTCTGTAAAAAGGAGAGAGCTAAAGCGAGGCAAGCAAAATAAACAGCTCCGAGTTTACAGTGACAGACCGCAGCGGGGAGACGGCGAAGGAGGCAGCGAGGGCGAGGACGCACGGACGGCAAGTGTGCGCACGGAAGCATCCTTCGATTTTTCATCTTCTTCAGCGTAGTGTGACCGTGGTTCTATGAGTGTGACGTAGTCTAAATTGAGGAGGATTATAGTAAGATTTCCGGCAATAAAGCCAAACAATTTAGGCAAAAACCATCTCAGACAGGTCATTTCTAAAGCCATCATAAGGTAGAATTAAACCTACCTATTTTTAAGTAGCCTACATTATCTAAAACTAGGCTACTTCAACACTTTTACTTAACTGGCGAGTACTATTAGATGTAGGACTACTTCAGAGTGCCAAAATGTAGACTTAGTAGCAGGATAGTAGTAGTAATCGTACTCTAATAAAGTAGTAGCCTAGTATTTGCCCACATCAAGGTTTAACTGCAGCCAAACACATTTATCTCACTGAGTTTTCACTGATTCCAAACTTTTTTTTTCTTCCAGGAGTGACTTGGGAACGCTTCGACACACCAGAAGGACTTTTATTTGATTTTTCACCCTTATTGACTTTTTTTTTGGCCCCAGTGAAGACCGAGGACTATTTACGCAACCATGAACACCATCGTCTTTAACAAACTGAGCAGCCAGGTCCTGTTCGAGGAGAAGGCTCAGGAGGTGGAGATGAGCAGCAGAAACTACCTGGAGGTGATGGACGGCCAGCATCCGGACCTGCTCTCCGTCAACCCGGGCATTCGAGACAGCCAGGCCAACAGGCACAGGCGCAACGGGTGCGTACCGAAAATTCCAATGGCTTTCATATGGTCTAACAGTGTTCTTCAGGCTGCTTGTGTTGCTGAACTGAGATGAGACTTTTCAAACGACAAAGATATGATAATGAATTTGACACATGCGGACTCTGAAGGTTACAATGTGAACAGTGAGACGCATTTTAGTCAGGAATTCGAATAAAAATTGAGTTTTGTGTCATAGTTGGATGAAAATTGCTGTCTAAATAATCACATTAAAGTGTTTGAAATGTGGAAACTGACCATAATAAGCTACTGGGACAAACATTTTACAATTTAAAACAACAAAATAGCAAAATAAATCGAAATGTAAGCTATTTTTGGAATTTTAGTTGGCCTACTGTATTACGTAGAGCTTGTTAGGTTTAAATAAACTATTGTTTCTGAAGTAATTACAATGTTGTTGTAGTGTCACAATACAAAAATTTCAGTCACAATGTCGATACTAAGGAATAGACTGACAATTTTGATACTGTCATGAGGAAAAAACACAGTGGAGTGTCTTTTTTAGCACAAAATAATAATGCTTTTCTTTAAGTTATGATAAAGTCCAAGGTTTTCCTAAGTCTGTTCAAGAAAGTTCTTGTAAAACTGTAAATCTGTTTTTGATTCTGGTTTTAGATCCGATTACTGATCTGATTTCCGATACTTTCGACAATCCCATGTTGTGGTGAAATTTATAATCGCAAATATTTCTCAAATCCTTTAATGCTGTCATCCCAACGTTGATATTTACAAAGAATTCTCAAGTCAGGAGCCGTATCAGACGCTGGAATGACCAAAAACTCGTCATCACCAGACAGTTGTGCGTACAAGCAGCGCATGATAAGAATAACCAAACAGACCGGGGCGACGTCATACAGTATTTCAGGATAAATATTTTGCTCAAATCAAGTAACGGATGTACTCGTTGTCAAAATAAGCCGTGCGTTGAAGAGATGACAGCCGTCCCGCCTCCCAGCTGGTTCCAATACCCTCCACCGTCGGCTGCTTCTCATTTAGGTGTTGTTGTTCACAGCTAATCTTTGAAATTAATAAGTGGGTCAGAAATGTGCGGTAGCTTTCTGAAAAAAAAAAAAAAAAAAGACATCCATCTGGATCCAATGACCGCGTTTGTCCTTCAACCTTGTGTGTGGTCGGGTCCGTCTACGGCGTAATAGTTTAGTGACAAGGAGCAGGTGTAGGGGGACGTCGCAAAAAAGCGTGCAAGGTCTGCTGGGATATCTAAGGATCGGGAGCGCGGGTGTGTGGGGGGAAAGTGCAGCGAAATGTCCTCGAGGATGTACACAGACTTTCAGATTACAAGGAAAATATTTGTAGAACATGAAGCCGAGGCAGAGGAGGCACATGTGAAGGAGTGAGGAGAGCAGCGCCACACTGACATCTACAGGAGAGCTGACAGCCAGGTGCACTGCAAATCCACTCAACACAAAAACTCCACTCTACTACTCCAGATTACTTGTATTTTTATTATAAATTCATGTCGTTTTAACTAATCTATGCTCATTTTTTGTTTATGTTGTGGTGGGAAGTGGTGGGAATAGCATGATGTATTTTGAAAGTATCCCGTTACCAATTTTCAGACAACACTATGTCAAACAAAATCCGACAGAAATTTGCTAAAACACGTCTGAGAGTTGTGGTTTAGGTTTTAGAAAAGTATGAAAGGTTTCGAATGACCCATAAAAGTGCAGACATCCACTTTATATCCTTTTTTAGAAGTTTACTTTTCTGTTTTTATTTTTTTTATCAGCTCCTTTTGCTGCATTTGTATTATAAGCGATATACTTGAAATGAAAATGATAAAATATCTTCAAAACTCAATAACTATGGAGTCTGTATTAAAGATGGTATTTCTTACGGGGATAATCTGTTGTCAGAGTTTAGGCCTGGAGAATTTGCTACGTGTTTTTCTCCATGGAGATGTTATTGCTTTGCCTGGAATGTTCCACAGTATGGCATTAAGCTTGTTTATCTCCCTGTCGTTGGTGGCAAGTTATTGGTTATTTATTTATTTATGTGATTTATTTAACAAGGATAGTGTAGCCTACATTAATCAGCATTTCTGTGAATGTTCCAGAATTATCCAGAGTGGATGTTTTTCATTTGTAATTCCTGGACAGATTGTGGAACATTTCAAAACCACATCTCCAGGGAGACATGAAGGTGGCTTACTCACTTTCGATCTGAAAAATTAGGCGGTACATCTTTAAATGTGCGAGTCTTGTCTACTTGTCTTGTCATGTTGTTGTTTTAGATACGCACAATGTAAAACTGATTGTTGATGTACCATTTTTGATAAACTCCCCTGTGTTGTTAGCATGATTCATCTGCCGGTTTCACTTTGTAGAAACCGTCTGACCTCGCAGTGTTAGAATTCATTCATTTGACAGTAGGCGGGTACTTTTTATCATTTAACCAATCGCTGCTATTTGGTCGTGATATATGTAGTGCACCACTAACGGGGTTAACTGGTATATTAAGCTTTTCCCAAATCCTGTAGGAAGAAGGACAATAACGTCTTTCCCCTTGATAAAATTCACCAAACATTCTCTTTGTTCTGGCTTTAAATCCTCGATCTTGGGAATCGTTGACAACCCTGAATATATCACTCTGATTGGCTGATTGGCTGGTGTCTGAACTCGTACCTCCAGGGGTTTTTGTAAACCGTCTAGTGTATTTTGATTCCTGACCCTAGTCACTGGGAGAAATGAAACTGAGCGGAACCACTAGGTGGCGCCAGCCTGTTTATCATCTAGAGAGGATGTTTTTCATCTGTAGTCCCTGGACAAATGGTAAAAGTTACAGGTCACTTCTGTGGAACATCTTCAGGAAGACATGAAGGTGGCTTACTCACTTTCCATCAGAAAAGTTACGCAGTACACCTTTAAATGTGCGAGCTTTGTCTACTAATCTTGTCATATAGTTGTTTTAGATACGCACAATGTTAAACTGATTGTTGTCGTACAATTTTTGATAAACTCCCCTTTATTGTTAACCTGATTCATTTCACTTCGTAGAAACCGTCTGACCTCGCAGCATTAGGATTCGTTCGCTCAACGGTAGGCGGGTACTTTTAATCATTTAACCAATCTCTGCTGTTTGGTCATGATGTATGTATTGTGCCGCTAACAGGGATAACTGGTATATTAAGCTTTTCCCAAATCCAGTAGGAAAAAGGGCAATAACTCTTTTCCCTTGATAAAATTCACCAAAAATTCTCTTTGTTCCGGCTTTAAATCCTCAATCTCGGGAATCGTTGACAACCCTGAATATATCACTCTTCGCTGATTGGACAGTGCCTGAACTCGCACTTCCAGGGGTTTTGCGAACCGTCTAGTGTATTTTGATTTCCTGAAATTGAGTGGAGGCACTAGGTGGCGCCAGCCTGGTTACTGTATTGTAACTTATGTAAAAATATGTTAAAGTTTAGAGAAAAGAGCTACGTCTGACCACTGTTGCTCTGAGCTACAGTAAAGGAGCAGAGTGCAGCAGTGCTAGCAACACCTAGTGATTTGACCAGCACATAAACACTGTTCTTATGATGTAAAGATAAATCATAACATTTATAGTGAAACCCAGCCGCATATTTCATTTTCAACACTTACTATACCCAAGAATGTGTGTGTGTTTAGTGTAGGCTCAGCTGGACCTGTACGTTGACCTGTGAGGGAAACCCGACGGTATAATTTCGTCTGTTTGTCCGTGCCTTGCGTGAAAACCTTGGCTCGGACGTTAACCCCGTTCCTACATCGTTCCCTCTTCACGTGGACTGGGGACGTGTTTTCGACGGTGGTCTGCGGGGTGGCCATTGTATGATAAACTCGCAGCGGTCTCCCTGGACCGGTGCCTTGTTGCAGCGACGTCTGCGCGCTCGTAACGTCGTCAAACCTCCCCGGGCTAATGACAGTGCTCTGAGAGAGAAGATTACACAGCTGACACCAGGCCCATTTCAAGTGTCACTGCCGACAAGATTCACTGACAAGACCACACGCTGGCAAAGTGTGCTTCGGATTCTAATTGAGATTTGAAGTTGCATTTTTGTTCGTTACTGCAGATGTTAAATTTTTAAAAGTTCAAGGTCCGCTATGTAATGTCGCAGATCTGTCACCAGCTTGTCTCAGTGGTGAGGTTATTGTTTTGCCTGGAATGTATGAAAGCAGAAGTATGAAATTAAACTATGTCAAATCAATCTAGCTTATATTCAGTTACAAATGTTTTATTGCTGAAAAATGCATGAAAATCGCCTCTTTAGGGACGACAGTGGCTCAGTGGTTAGGCCGGAGGATCGATTCTCTCTTGGACCAAGTTCGTCGTTGTACACTGCGAAAAACTTGGCCAAAATTTAAGATATGAGAACTTAAATCTATCAGAAAATGACCTAAAAGTAGTCCATGCTGCAAGATCATTTTACAAGTTCTCTTCAAATAAACTACCTCTAGACTAGAATGAAGCAGTTTCTGGTAAATGTTCATGGGCTGGAAATACGTTTATAGACGCTAAGTTTTAGATAAACATACTTGAGTATGAAACAAATCTGTCTCACTGAATCTAAAACCAAATTAAGTGTTGCAGGGGAAAACGACAGCAGCTTCTTTTAAACATGTATTGCCTAGCTTGAAGATTTTATGACTAGTTGAGTCATGGAAAAAATATATGTGACAATGTTTAAGATTATACAATGAATTCAGAATTAGTAAGTAGTAGGGATGTAACAATAACCGAAATATCGTGATATCGTATCGTCAGTAATATCGTGGACTGTCACAATATATCGAACTGCAAGTGTCTTTACTTGAACTCATTGTTATGGTACAGCAATAGCTAAAAAACAGAGGGAACTACATCGACCATGATCCTTTGGTGTTGTCAGTGAAGATATGACTTACAGAAGTTGACGATATGATACATATCGCGATACACAGGCCATGATACGATACATATCGCGATACAGTGAGCTTACAATTCGATTCGATTCAATACGATATATTTTAAATCAATTTGATATGGTCTAATACAAAATAATGTCTAAATCGTGGCTGTGATACTAAAAGTCTTTGTTAAACCACTTCTTGTGCAAAGTTCATATGAAACACAAACATTTTAATCATCAAAACAGTGAAAATGTCAAATAAGTTTCCTTCCTCTGAGCAAGCAAAAAAACTGTAGCGCTCTAATAAAATAATTTAGTAAAATATACCAAAAAATACTCTTGGTGATATATCAATACAACAGCCCACAATATTGATACTGTATCATCACATTAAATTATACGATATATCGATATTTCAATATTTTTGCACACCCCTAGTGAAGACCTAACATTAACACTTTAAAATCTTAATTCTTCATATTACAACATTACCATTATTAACAGCATCAATGTTTTTTTGTTTTTTTTGAAGTAAGCAGCATATTAACAGTTTTGTTTGCCTCCACAAATATCGCAATAAGTATTGTAGTGAGATACATATCGTGAAAATATCGTATCGTGAGATTTGGATATTGTTACATCCCTAGTAAGTAGATAATGACTCTGAAAACAAGATGAATAACTTGATATAAGTTCTAAAATCTTGGCCAGATCAGAGAAATTTGCTTCGTGTCTTTGGGCAAGACACATCACCCATGCATTGTGATTTAATAATAAAGTTATAATGAAGTTGTGTGTTAAAGTTGTGCGATTGGTTTAATGCCATACAGGTGATACAGGTGAATGACTGACAGTGCTATTTAAAGGTGCACTGTGTAACTTTTCTAATGGAGGGTCCGATAGATCAATGCTCTGCCTGAAATGTTTCACAGTATGACATTAAACAGCTCTACCTTACATTTATTCAATCCCAGGTGGTTTTATAGCTCAAAAATACCCAGAAAAACAAGTATTTTTGACTGTGAGCGGGATCGCCTCTCCACAGATCTGACCTGTAACTTGCTCTGGTTTGGTCTCCATGAAGATAGAAAGGTTTAACACCACACTGTGAAACACTCCAGACAAAGTAATAACATTTACAAAAGCCTTTGATGGACCCTCCACTAGAAACGTTGCACACAGCTGATAAATGAGATGACAACATAACTCAGAAATGCGGTTTGTGTTTGGATCATCCTTTAAGTTTGTTCCTCCTCTTTGTGTCTCTCCGCAGTGGACGTCCGAGCGGAGGGAAGGTGCGGCACAAGCGTCAGGCGTTACAGGACATGGCCCGGCCGCTCAAGCAGTGGCTGTACAAGCACCGGGACAACCCCTACCCCACCAAGACCGAGAAGATCCTGCTGGCCCTGGGCTCGCAGATGACCCTGGTGCAGGTCAGACACTCTTTCAAGCTCCGCACGTCCAAGTCGATTCTCTTTTCAAAGGGCCGTTGGCAGGCTATACTTTTCCCTATAATTTTCATAAATGTGGAAAAGCAATTGTAAAGTCGGGTGGATGGTTTATTTTTAGATCACTTGGTAGAAGCCAGATGCAGTGATGAGTGCTCATTGGTCATATGTTCGATTGCGCGTTTAAATAAATGCAGGCTCTTCATTGCTTGCGATCAGTAAAATATAGCGGCCTGCAGTGGTGCCATGAATTTTTCCAGCTGAAGCTTCAAACAGTTCAAACAGAGACGATGTGCAGTCTGGGTGTTCTTCTGCGAGACACTAGTTCACCCAAATAAAAAAATATATATAAAAAATGCATTTGCTGTCTACTCAAATTGTTACATAACATTTCTGCTGGAGGGGTCCACTACCTGTTCATTTGTCTCCAAGAAGATGTTACTGCATTTTGTCTGAAGTTTGGTATTACAGTGATTTCTTAAGCATAATTACAGGTGTCTTATTCTGTAAAAATTGTTTGAAAAAATGTATTCTTACAGTGATCAGGCTCACCTCTCCACAGATCTGACTTTTAACATGGCCTAGTATGATATGTCAAGTTTAATGTCAGACTGAGGAACACTCCAGGCAAAGCAGTAACGTTTACATGTCCACAACCTGATGGCGTACTCACCAGCAGAAAAGTGTTTACATATTAATTGCAGTTGAACCTCAGGCACCATATGCTTTCAAATCATTTGTCAGTTCTGAATGACTCGTGTATATTTTGTAAAACCATTGTTATTTCTGTGCTTCCTTTGTTATGGTTTTTAAGGTTCTTTTGCCGTCAAGATAAACCTTTAAACAATAGCCCGTCCCCTCTGCTGCAGCACTTGTAGCCGCCCGGTTGCGAGCGTAGCCTGTGGCGTGTGCAGCTGTGTCCTGTGTGAGCTGCAGGTCTGTGCGCTGGGCCTGAGAGTCTGCGGTGGAGCTTGTACAGGGCCCTGATCTGCTCTGACATATCAAACAGTGTTTGTTTTGGTGTGGGGCTGAGCAGAGGCAGGCGGATGCTTTGTGTCGGACCTCAGGGTGAAGAGAAGTCCGAGATGACACCCAAACAGCAGACGCGAGGGCTCAGGGTCAACTTCCATCACCTCGACTCTGTGTTATTTTAAAAACTTATCTCCCATCTCGTGTACACATCATTACCGACACATTTGGAATAACGTCCGGACTGGAGATGGAATGAAAACACTGAACTGAAGGATTTGTTGCTGATGAAGAAGCAAAAAAACGTACAGCGTCGTTTTTATGATTATTTGAGCATATTTCTGAGGATTTACCCGTCAGTCGCTGCTATTTTACACACTTAGCATATCAATAACAGGTTAATGACTGTGCCCTGAGCGGCCATCAGCTGACAGCCTGAGTGACGGCTGGCTTCCTGCTGCCATCTCAGAGCTGTGCTCTTAAACTCTCTCAGATCCAAATATAATTGCATAGAATGGGCCGCACTGTGCTACTGTAGCTGTGGTCAGGCTCCTATCCAAGTCTGACCTTCTGTTAAGTTGTACTAACATCGCCACTTCACTGGTCATTAGCATCAGTCGCTATTGCTAATTATGCAGAGGGTTGTGCCAGAATGACTCCACCAGAGATGTGCGGCTACACAGTATTATGGCTGGAAGCAACTGAAACAAACATTCAAATTATAGCCTACACATTTTATGTATAAAATGTGCAGTACTTCCTTTGTGGACTGTGATATTGATTTCAAATGAATGCAAAGGGAAGTCACTTTGAATCAAATATTGTGCTTTTGTCTGCTACATAGTTATAATCCCTGACACCCGTGGATGATTGTTATATTTTAGATATTTTTATATGCAATATTGATCTAAAATGACTCAGTACAAAAACACGTCTGCTGACTTCCAGGCTGCAGGATTGTGGAGCCCGATGGGAATCAATTCACACCTGCCCCATTTTTTCAGTTTTTGCTAAAATGGGTATACTGCCAAATCTAATGTGCATCACTGAAAATAAAATTGGAGAACAAAGTAAGTACAGACTTGTGGGTGTGTACTGGAGGCAGTCTTGATAGCAGAGAATAAACATTACTCAAACATGTATTCATCACTCTAAATACAACTTCGAAATGAGAGGGGAAACAGTTATAACATGGTTAAAAGCTCTAAAAAGACAATTTCACATAACAGATCTCCTTCACATCATTTAGAAAATCCTGACAGCAGACAGTGGTACAGTTTAAGTCTTGTTGTTTTGTCAGATCATTGTTACATTTTTCCCTCTTGAACCCCACACCACAGATGTTCCACAGGTCGCTCCAGCCGCTCTCATGTCCCTGCTGCCAGCTGCAGAGAGCGCATCACTTCCTGTGCTTTTCCCCTGGCAGCAGGTGCTCAAGTGTCTAAATCTGTCATGTTCTGCTGCCCGGCCCTCTTGTTCCATGTGTTCTTCACAGTTTGTACTTGTACACTGTTCCGTTTCTCTGTTATCGAGCATTAGGCGGTCACGCTGTGGCTCCTACTGTCTCCTGCACGGTACACAGCACAGACATGAGTCAGGTAGTTCAGCCAGGGCTCAGCGATCTGGCAAAAACTCCTCACTGCGACATCATCTGAAACAGGAGAATCATTTTGTTATTGTTTTAACGCTGGCTGTGCACTGTGCGGAAATATCAGAACTAACACTGGAGATAATTTTTCCTTATGAGATGGGACAGTGTAATACTTGGGACTGGAAATTATGGAGAGAGAAACGTTCAGCAAACAGTTTGAGTCTGGGCTTGAACTGGGAGAATGACACAATGATGAGCTCTACCAACTGAGCAAACCCCGCTGTACATTATTTCACTTTATATGAAAAAGCTTTTATTAATATTTCTGCGTCCTCTGTGGCCTCTCCAGAGCCGGATCTCGTTCCAGATGTGACTTTGCCAGCCGTCTGTCACAGCCTGTACACTCAGGCTGTCCCCTGGCCCTGTATCTCACACTGAGCATGTGGGATGGTCTTATTTAATGAGAAACCTGACACAGAAACGCACATCAGAAAATAAGTACTCTAGCATAAGTCCTCTGTCCCAGGCCTTCAATAAGCCGCTTGAAGTCTATAGAGCATGAAAAGTTATTCTAGTATAACATCTAATGGTCTCCGTTCCCAGTGAAAGAGAGAGCACCAGCTCAAGTGTCCTTTTTATTGCATCTTCAAGGCCCTGTTTGGAAAAAATCTATTATTCCAAGAAGGCAGCAGGCTCCAGAATAAGCAGCAGAGATGTGCGTCTCGGTCGGAACGTCGGTTAATGGAACGTTGCTTTCGCCGCTGCATTTGGAAAGTGTTAAATGTTTCTACATGGCCAATGATGCAAAGAAGATGCACTCTAGGGTGTCTGCGATGTTTCTCTGGGTTTCACTTAGATAGTCTGTTGTAACCCAAGCCGTTTCCCTTCACTCTTGTTTTTGTGAATGAGACAGAGCATACCCAAAGCACACAATCTCATGGAGGACGCTCTTTACTTTGGCTGTGGGTCTGTTTGTTCACATAATCATATTGTGCTCATGTTGTGTGCGCAGGTCTCAAACTGGTTTGCCAACGCCCGGAGGCGGCTGAAGAACACAGTGAGGCAGCCCGACCTGAGCTGGGCTCTGAGGATCAAACTCTACAACAAATACGTCCAGGGCAACGCCGAGAGGCTGAGCGTGAGCAGTGACGACAGCTGCTCTGAGGGTACGCCGCATTCTTTTACACTCACTTCAATCAAAACAGACGCAGTGTGTGTGCTCTAAATAAGTTACACAACTGACTTATACCCAACCTGAAAGCACACTCTTCAAATGCAAGCACACTGTTCTTGAGTTAGGTTGGTTTTGGGGTAGACTTGCCACATAGGGTTAGGAATTTCGATATTGAAGTACTGATATATCGATATTGACTCAAATGCGGGTATCAGTACTGTTAGGCAAATATCAATACTAATCAGCATATGCAAATATTAAGGCTTTTATCATTTTAAACATGTTTTCATTTCATTATTTTGTGTCAAAGCACCTCCACCAGCAGCACTTTGGACTGATCCATCTGCATCAGGTTTTTGGTTTTTTAGAGTCTATTTGTCATTTTGTGCACATATATTTATTTAAATCATTTCACCATTAAGATTAGACCAGTATCAGTATTGGTATCAAAACAATGCCCCTCCAAAGGTACCGTATCGATCCAGAAAAATGTGGTAGATTTCCAAGTACAGTTTGTCAAAAAAAGAAAAATACGCTGACTTTGCTTGAGAGGTTAGACGTCTGTGCCAGTTCTGTACGGTGAACTTACATCAAGGTTTGCACCGTAAAACCTCAGTGAACTGAAGTGAAATCAGGCCAAAGGTGGATCTGGTTTGGGTCTGCAGTGCTGATTCTGCTCTGATCTATGGAGGCTGTGTGGCCCGGAGAGACTGCAGGCTCCACACACTGTCATTAGGACACCCCACGGAGCCAAGCCTGTCTGCAGCCTGCAATTCAACATGACACTGTGTATTTACTGCAAACACACTGTACACGTGAGAGCTGCGCCATAACACACAAGTACAACAACTTTCAAATATATCACTGGATTACATAGGATTAGATCAGTATGTGGAATGTAGAGAGGAATTTTATTTTATTTTTCATGTTTATAATATGTCATTAATACCTTGCACAGTAGGATTAAAAAGACAAGACTGGTTAAAATCAGAGTTGGAATCAAGGTTGAACAATTTGGAAAAAAAATATCAAATTGCAATTTTTCTGACAAGCGTTGCAATTGTGATTAAACTAAACTACAGGGTTAGCAGTTTTAAGGAGGAAATTGTGGCAGCCTTTGATTAACGAACTGCCTTCATTCAAATTGCGATTCGGATTTGATTGTGATTCATTTTGCAGTCCTATCTTGAATATATATAAAAGTAACCAACATTTGCTTTTTAGCTCTGTGAGGGAAAAAGGAATGTTGACCGAAGATCTTATTGTGATTTATTTAGATTTTTGCAATGTGGTTTTGCCATAACTTAATATTGCAGTAATAATAATCTTGTGATAGAGTGCAATTCAAGTACACTACATGCTGATTCTCCAGGGAGGAAAGCTCAAAACATGATCCACCAGAGACATAATAAGCAACACATGCACTCTCGCTCTGAAAGACGAACAAAGACGAGCAGCTCTTTGGTGTGAGGAGTCTTTAATTACACTTCCCAGGAGGTGAAGCCGAGCGTGTGGCTGCTGTGGAATGTGCGCACGCTGTTTGCATTGTGTCCGCCGCAGGCCACCGTACCACCAGGGCCTCTCTATATCTGCCCGACTCCTCTCCTTGTCACATTATGGTCATGGAGCTGCTCCCACTTCTGCGAGGGCGCCAAAAAAGAGCCCTCCATTATGTTTGTAAGCCTATGTGTGCTTTTGTCTCTCTGGCTATTTCTGGGGCCCCTGTGACCCCACTGACCCCCCGCACATTCCTCCTACTGTCCTCAATGTGCTCACTGTGTTTGACACTTACAGTAGAGCAGCACTAACTACACTTGGACTGGACTGGAACTAGTGTGTTACGATACTTGATACTTAATGCAGCCTCCGATACCACAATGATAATAAAAACATTCTTTATTCTCTTCTAGAATCTACCTTTCCACATAAATCATAGTACTTTCTTTTTATATTATCATGTGTAATCCCTCAGTGGTCCAGGTAGGTTCCATAGTGGTCCAGGGGTGTATACTAGTCTATGTGCTCTTATACTTGTTCTGATACAGCTCAAGGTCATTCTACAAACATTCAGGAAAGATTCATTTCTGTTCTGTGAATGTAAATCTAGTTTTTAGTACAGATTAATAGGGATGTGACAATAATCGAAATATCATGATATCATATCGTCAAAAGTCTCACGATAATATCGGAGGCCATCACAATATATTGAATTATAAGTCTCTTTGCTTAAATTAATAGTTTTGGTGATTTGAATGTCTTTCTTATTATGTAAAGCACTTTGAATTACTTTGTGTATGAATTGTACTAGGGGTGTAAGAAAAAATTGATCCAGTCATATATCATGATACTTCATTGCACAATTTTTGAATCGATTCAAAATGGATCTGCATCGATTTGTTAAAATATTCTTTTTCACAAAAATTAATTAGTTATATTCACTTCTTCTGATGATTAAAAATGTATAAATTATATTTCATACAGTTGTTAGGGTTAGGGGTTAGGGCAGGGGTGGGCAAACTTTTTGACTCGTGGGCCACAAAGGATTCTAAAATTTTATGGAAGGGCCGGACCAGGAGCAGATGGATGGAGTTTTTTTTTGGTAATCCTCCTCATAAGAGAAAAAAATATCCCATGTTATTGAAATATCCCATAATTGAAAATCATTACAAAGCATTACAACAAAATATGTCTTTCAAGTCCCACGGTATTTGCTATTTATTGAAATGACTTTCAAAACACTGAAAATTATAATTATTATTCAAGTTCGGAGGGCCGGATTAAAAAGATTAAAGAGCCGCATATGGCCCCCGGGCCTTAGTTTGCCCATCCCTGAGTTAGGGTCTCTTGAAGGTGTAGTTGACTATATCAACCGTTATATCGCAATATATCAGCCATTGTTTTAGTATCAGGATATACCAAATCATGACATGCAAATTATGATAAGTATCGTATTGTCACACTCAAGGCAATACACACCCCTAAAATGTACTTTACAAATAAACTTGCCTTGGCTTACTTTGGTGCAGCAGAAACAGAGGAAACTACATAGACCATGATCCTTAGTTGTTTCAGTGCATACTATATGAAGAAATAACAGTTATTAAGCACTTAAAATTTTAATTCTTTGTATTATAACAGTAGCAAAGGCTTCTCCAAGGCTTTTACAAAGGAAAAAGTAGTGTATTCACAGTTTTGTTGACCTCCACAAAATATCGCAAGAAGTATAGAACCATGAGATGCATATTGTGAAAGTATCGTATCGAAGGATTTTGATATTGTTACATCCCTACTGATTAATATCTGATTTTCAATACTTTTATCTGGTGTTGAACTTTGGTATCACAACACTGAAAATTCTTGGCCTTCAAAAGCATTTCTTGAAATCTTGTTTTAATTGTTTCTATATTTTACATGTAAAACAGTTACAAAATAACATTTTCATTTCATCATCATTTTCCAAGATGTTTACCTTTGAAATTTCTGACCTGTTATAGTGTGTCTGAAAATGGTGTTCCTCAAGACTCCATTTTGGGACTGTTGCACTGTTTCCAATAACTTCTCCAATAACATGTTTGATTACTGTTTATTAGAAGTTGTAAATACCACAGGACACAAAACAGCAGGTTGTGTTTTCAGTTGGAGGGTTTTTATTCAGCTCTGTGCCACAGCTAAATGCCCGATCAGCTCTATTATTATTTTACAGACAATGTGGTCAACATCCAGACGTACCCATTCAGTCAGACGATCCTCCCTCAAATAGAAAAGATGGAGAGGGAGCTATAAGGCTACTACATGTGGTTTTGATATGTGGGAGCTATAATTCTAATTCGGCCCAGACTGAATCAAATGTCCGACCTGCCTAAATTACTAAATTACAGACTTGGCAGCGACAGAATCTGGAGTGAACTTCTCCCTGATTTTGCGCTGCCAGGGGAGATGTGTTTTTTCAGCCCAGTGTTTTATCTTTCCCCTCTCTTTCATCAGGTACGGACCTGTGTTCACTTCAATATCGTCAGCCACAGAGCTCCCTGGAAATTATTTATTTCTGCAAGGGCACTTTAGATGGAGAGGAAATGGACTACCATCCGTTATGGTTTGGTAATATGTCTCAAGTCTCGACCCAGCTCTTTGTACTTGAGGCAATGCCAACAGCAGGGCAAGCGTGCCTGCTCGAAGTTTCCCTGCCCTGGGATTTAGTGATTAGTCTAAAATAACCAGAGCCTGTTTAAGTAGCTACGAACATGGAACACTGTGGGAAATAAGATGAGGTGTATTTCATTTAAAAGGGAAAATTAGAAAATTGCAGTTCATAAGTATTGTTTCAACACATGCACATTGCTGGATCGTGATTCATGGTAACTTTCTTTAATCAAACAGGCACCGATCGTGATTTCTGAGACAAAATGTGTGCGCTCTTTTTTACGTCTCGATTCCTGGCACTGTGTATTTTTGTTCCATGCGGTCTGATTTCATTGATCTTTCTGTGATGTCTTTCTGTTAGATGTGGACAACCCTCAGAGGACACAGAACGGCCCCGAGGAGCTGAACAAACCCATGTACCCGAGTGTGATCAAGAAAGAGGGCTCCTCCAGGGTGGGCATGGCCATGGGGATGGGCGCAGGGCTCCGGGCCGCCGCAGAGCCAGAGGACTATGTGTCTCCCCCTAAATACAAAAGCAGTCTGCTACACCGCTACCTGAACGACTCGCTGCGCCACGTCATGGTGGCCAACGCCGTCATGGACGCTCGCCGGAGGAACCACTCGGGCTCCTTCAGCTCCAATGAGTACGACGACGAGCTGCTGTCGCCCTCCTCCTCTGAGGCCGAGGCCAACTTTGTTTATCGCGCTGGTAAGACGCCACATTTCTCACATTCTTTCCCCTCCACAATCCACATTACACACGACATCCCTCACTCGCCGCTGTTTGGGCCCTCACATCTGCACTTTTGTTTGAATTCCTCTTCGGCCTCCATTATTTCCAGCTGTCCTCTCTCTTTATGTTACACCACCTCTGCCAGCTCACACTGTTCTCTCCCACCTCATTCCTTTATTTAACAAGTGTTTGTGCTGCTAAATGTGCTGCTTGTGACACCCTCACACACTTTCACAGTAGTGGAGGAATTCCCCCGGCCGGCTGCTCTGACCAGGCCCAGTGTCCAGACACAACACACTCCTGTAGGGCTACTGTTTGGCAGGCCTCTGCTCCTGCCATAGTCCTGCTGAGAGTCCAGGAACTCCATGTGCATGCTATGTCAAAGCAAACGCGCTATTTTAGGAGCACACTTTTGTACTTTTGCTGAGGAAAACTACTTTTACAGTTTAATAATACCTTATATAGCAATGTGCCTGGCGTAAATACAATACATCAACTTTTCTGGCAACCACCCTCTTTTGATTGCGGAATTGTATTAAATTCAGCTTTTAATTTCAGTTTAGTTAAAATAAAACAACTTACCTATGTTTCAATCAATTTTACTTTCAAGCAACATTCCAGTCTGTTCACGTGTAATCCTGAGAAGAACGTTATTCCTCATCAGAATTTGACCCTTCCAGACGGAGATAAGAATAGATACGTCCTATCTCATGTTTGACTGCCACTGTTTGAGTTTACAACCTTGTATCAGAGCTGCTCACATGTACAGTTTGTTCTCTCATGTTTCTCACTGTTTGACATTTTTCAGGGTTGTACAAGCTCTTTAATCAATGAATATTTAGACTTTTTCAGGAATACTTACATGTTGTTTTTAGCTTTTCCACCAAAGACAGACTATTTTTTTCTACTTTATTTCAATTTTTTTTCACAAGAAATCTCTCAACAGTTTTGACAGTGCAATATTATAATCAATTGCTGACAGCCAAACCACAAAATGCCTTGACAAAATAAACTTTTCTCCGAATTACTTTGTTTAGATACACAATCGAAATGTATACATTGTTGTGGATTTTGGTTTGTGAAAATGAATTCAGTCAGCCGAATTCAAGGCCAGTGTAACGACAAATATGTTTCATATTGTCAGAGCCAAAATTCTTCTGCGCTGCTTCACGGACAGCGACAGTTACAACGCTCTGCATCCAAATTCTTCAAACCCTGTGACCGGAGCCATTTTTCACAGCGAGGCACCTGCTGGGAGCCACAGATGGTGACGGAAACAGACGAACGAATGGACCAGGGGAGACTTATAACTCTTTTCCAAGCACATTTTAATAATCTCCACCCCTACGCGACTCCATCCATGTACCTGGCTGGCCTTGTGTTTCCAATCCACTTTAACTGTTTTATCTCTACGCTTCATATCTTTCCCTGGCCCTGACGTCTTCTCCTCCATCTTGGATCTCTCCTAAGTGTTACTGTGTTACATCCACACGTGGAAACTTCTCTGCGGCGCTGTTGACTCATGGGAAAGAACACCTGCCCCGCCGCTCCCATCCCGTCACCCCAGCGCCCGGGCGAAAGCGAACAAAGCAAAGAGTTCCAAATGAAAAGTGGATTTCTCTTCTGATCTGGCCCACGCACACACCAGTAATTATGTACTCAGGGTGACTTCATTTCCTCAACGGGCCTTGCGCATTATGGATATGTTAGTCTGGAAGTCATTCCTCTTTGATTTTCTTTACATTTTTTGGAACGTCCACTGAGTTGTACAGCATTAACACAATCTATAGACACCCGTTTTAGACTTTGATGCTCCAAATGTGTCAAAAATATCAACCTGCTGCTCACAGTGATGACATTTACACATGACTTTATGTCATCTATGTTTAAAGTCTATAGTTTAAAGCAAAACCTGATTTTACAAATCATCAGAGGCTTGATTAGGTGTCATGATGTTGAAACTTAACTTGAAATTGATACTAAGGAATTCTTTCAATATTCAATACCAGTTACAATACCACAATACAGGATAAACAAATTCACCTTTTTAAGTAGATTAATAGAATGCAATTTTCATACATAAAAAAGTAATAGTACTTTCTTTATCTTAGCATGAGGTTGTTATGATAAAGCTCAAAAATCATACTTACACTGTTCAGGAAAACTAAAAAGGTTGTCCTGTTAATAGATTTTTTTCTAGTATCAATATTTGTTCAAATGAGTATCTAGTCTAGATATTAGTTTTTGTATTGATTAGTATTTGATTTTGGATACATCTTTATATTTTCAAAAGCCAGTCCATTTTGATGCAATAAAAGTATTCTCTCCCTCTTTTATCAAATCCACTCAACTATATTCTATTAATAATAGAAAAAAAATGTAGTTAGAGGTAAAAGTTAGAAACAAAAAAGACAATATTTTTTTAAAGAGTTTTTACAAATGCATTCTTCATATACAGTATGTCAATGCATCATTGCAGTTTAACCCGCAATATACTGTCATCTGGCAGAACAAGTTGCTGTGCCAACTTGGCAGTTTTACTATTGTGAGGTGGGTCTCCCTCCCTGACTGCTGCCCCTGTCCCACCACATAAAGCCTAATTTGGCAGAAAACACAGCATGTCTTTGCAAAACAGGCATTGTAGCTGTTTAAAGCATTAAAACTAAATCACAGTTCTCATTTTGGGCAATTTGAGAAAAACACAATAGAGTTTCACTTCACGCTCATTTGTCCAATCCCCCATGTGTATTATCACTCCCCTCTGGCCTGTTGCGGTGCGCCTGCCAGCCCTGTGTCCATTGGCTGTGTCCCCTGTGCGCCGCTGGGCTGTTGTTATCTGGGGCCGCAGAGGGCAGTGAGACGTGGCAGGAGGCGCAGAGAGGAGATTTATCCCGATGGAAACTTCACACAAATGTATTCAGGTCCACACACAGCGCTCCAGTCCAAACACCTCCACCAACCCCGGCCTGTGGGGAATGTCATACAACAGAAGAATTCCAGCGCTCATGCCAGAGCCTTGTGCCAAATTAGCCTTTAATGGGATATTAAATGGCAGGAATCTGGCGCAGTGTTTTGTTTCTCGCTCCGTACCACATTTGGACCCGTCCAACGTCATATAGATCATTGTGTACTAAATAACATAGAGCGTTTTGTGGACAAGGTCTGAGGGTTTAGGCCAGACTTTGTAATATGCCACTTAGCAGGTTTTTAATATATTCATTAGATCCAGTTGTCTAAACAGCTTATTGCGACTGGAATGGGGTTCGTTCGAGTTCTTTGGATGTTAAATAATAGATATTTCATTTTTTCCGTTATTTGCCATTAGCCAATTATTCGTTGTGATAAATTATTTGTCAGACTGCTATCAACAGTTACAGATGTGTTGTTTTTGGGAGCTGTATGGAAGGAGTAAACTTAGTACGGACAATGTCAATACTTCAATACAAACATTGGAAAAATCTTCTTTCCAATTGTTTTCTTTTTCCTGTAGATCTTGATCAGCTCTGTTTAGGGATAAAATACTTGTCTGAAATAGAAGCAGCCTAAAAAGCACAAAAATGCAAGGTGGTCTGAAAGCAGAAGCCAGTTTCCAGTGATTGGATTTTTACAGAGCTCTGAAAATCCATGGATCAAAACCACCTTGTAAATATTTTTAGTCACTTTCATTCTCTGCTACTCCCGAAGTAATTTCAAATGCAATTTATGTGTCCAATTTGCCCAAATATTTGCCCGTTACTACATTTCACGACGCTCCCCGTATACTTCTATCTGCTGTTCTTGGCCGCACGTGGCAGTGAAGTCACCATGATTTTACAGCCTTCAAGTGACTTATTTCTTGAGAGGGCCATGTTTAACACATAGTTTTCTCAGAATCGAGTTCAACCAAAATAACGGTGCTTGACGGCAGCTGGTAAGATCCTGAGGGCCTTTCAAACCGGGTCAGAACCAGACACTTTGAATCTTGGACAGTTTTAGTAGCACTTATGGAATAGTTATTGTAATGTGGAAAAAGAGACCAATGTTTAACTTTCTTGTCTCGGTGCAAAAAGTTAAGACAGATTAGATCGTCAGTTACTATAATGTTAGATGTCGATCACGATTGTTTTTATACCAGACTAACAAGATGGCTGGATTTCCGTGCCTTTATTAATGTCCTCCTTGTTTTGTGTCCAAAGAGAAAACCTGCTGTGATGATTTATACAGCAGCCATCTTGGAAACTATTAGAAAGTATCTAGGTTGGGGCCGTGCATTTCACCGGAGCAATGCACAATGACAATCCAGGACCCTCCCAAAAGTTGATGAATGCAATCTCCCGTACTCAGTGATGGCTTCTTTCCACACTGCGAAGTTTGGGATTTTGGTTTTTGGAATCAGCATTAAGAGGAAGTATAGCATGCACTTGTTCCGAATGGAGTTTTTGTGTAGATACTGTGATCCGGTGATCCAATGGAACACACCTGTTGTCTATATGTCAAGGGTCTTAAAAGAGGCAGTATTATGAACTTTTTGGAGCTTTCTTCCATGTTATAACATTTCAAAATGTTACGTCAAAAGCCTGAATAGGTTTTACACGTCTCCCGTACATATGTTTTCTAGCAATTTTTCCAGGCCACTATTTGAACCCATCTTACGGTTAGTGGTAAGAACCTGTCCAAGACTCAGCCCTAGGGATGTAACAATAACCAAAATATCGTGATATCGAATTGTCAAAGTATCGTGGACCATCACAATATATCTAAGTCTCTTTGCTTAAATGAAGAGTTATGGTGCAGTAATAGCCAAAAAAAAAAAAAAAAAAAACAGGGAACTACATAGACCATGATCCTTTGCTCCATTTCAGTGTAGACTACAAGAAGAAATAACAATTCTAAGCACTTTTAAATCTTGGTTCTTTGGGTTAAGTCTTGTCAAGGCATTTTAAGAGGAAAAAAGTATCTTATTAATAGTTTTGTTAACCTCCACAAAATATCGCAAT